CTGGTTGTCCCAGGTGTGCAATCCACAATGGGTGCCATCGGAAGTATTCACAGTAGGATGCATTGCAGATATTCAACTTGATGCCCCTGTGTTCCTGTGGAAGCACACATATGCGCACATGTACATGTATGCATGCGTGTGCGTGCGCACACACACACACACACACACGCACACAATTCCAACTGACAGTAAATGCAATCTAATAGAGAAAGGTTCATGTACTTCTGTCAGTTTTCAAGATCAGAAGAAATCCTCTAACCCCAACTCCTTAAATTTGCATTCTTTTTTGTATGTAATATGTTTAGAATCTGTAATTTAATAAAAAGGCATATGAAAATATTAGAATAAGCATTACAAATTCTGTATGTCTACTTGATTAAGTGGGTGATGAAACACTTAAACAGCAAAATCTTTGAAAGTTATAATGTATTACTTTGACAGGAAAGCCTTAATTCAACCCCAGAAACCCGTAATGAGTATCTATTTTACATTGCATTGGAGGTCATTAGAACTACAAAAGACCAAGAAAAAAACAAGAGGTTTATATGTTATAAAACAAGACAGAAGTTATTACTTACAGATAGCATAATGTTCTGTACAGAACATCCAGAAGAATCAATTGAAATCCACATAAATTAAGAAAACATTTTAATGGATTGTCCAGATATACAAATATATGAAGAGTATAAAATTAGTAAAATTAACTATATTAAAACAAAGAGATAGAAAATCATCATATTCATATTGATTATAATTACAAATATCAAGGAAGACAATTATCAATGTGAATGCTATAGGAAAAAAAGTTAATTATTAAATGACACACAACAAGAGGAAATCAACAGAAATGCATGCCATCCCAAGTTGCAGTGATTTGGCGAATAAAAATAACTATGAATTTAGACAAAGTTAAAATATTGTAACATGATGCTTTGCTCAAAAAATCTATAGAAATAGATGATATGTAAGTCTCCTATGTGTGCTATAACAAATCACCACAAACTTGGTGTCTTAAAGCAACACAAATTTATTCTCTTGCAGTTCAAGAGGCCAAAAGTCCAAATTTAGTATCTTGGGCAGAAATCAAGGTGTCAACAGGTTCATGCTTCCTCTGGAGGCTGTAGGGGAGAATACATTCCTGACTGTCCCAGCTCCGGGTGGCTGCCAGCATTTCTGAATTGTGGTTGCATCATGCTAATCTCTGCCTGTGTGGTGACATTGCCCCCTCTTATATCTGTCACATCTCTTTGTCTCTCTTATAAAAAGACCCTTGTGAAGGCATTTAGGCCCCACCTGATTAATTCAGAATAATCTCCTCATATCAAGAGTCTTAATCTAATCACATCTGCAAAAAGATAACCATGTAAGGAAACATTTCCAGGTTTCAAAGGTTACAGACAGATATATTTAGTGGTCAACAGGCATCTCACTACTGTCTCTCTAGTTCCCATAGTCGATCAGCCCCACATGCAAAATATTTTTACCTCATCTCAGTTTTTCCAGATGTCTTAATGTATTATATCATCAACTTAAGTCAAAAGTCTCATCTAAAGGGCATCAGCTCAAAAACCCAAATTCATGATCTAAGCCATTCAAAGCACTTGTGCGTGAGACTAAGTATGTTCCACATAAAGGCAAATTCTCATTGTAGAACTGTGAAACTAGAAAACAAGTGATCTACTTTCAAAATGCAGTGATGGGAAAAGCATCAGGTAATAGTTAGACAGTTCTAGTCCCCAAAAAAAGAAGTGCAAGGTAGAAGGGAGTTACTAGTAATAATAATCCTTAACTTGATCACATCTGCAAAAACTTTACCTGATTCCAGAAAATAGATTCTGGTATGTTTGGGGGACATCATTCAGCCCACTACAGATTATTTCATGAAAATTGCTATCTTAGCTTAGATACAGCAAACCTAAATAGATCACAGAAAATATAATTTCCATATGTCATTTACTTTCCCCTTTTGAGTGAAAGACATCATTTATACTATAATGAATTTCTATCTCTCTATCTCTGTATGGTACCTCTGAGCCAATACCAAACTATTTTAATTATTCTAATTTTGTAAAACACATGCATATCTGATTGGGCTGGCGACACCTTTCCTATTTATTTTACTCTCTTTAAAAAATTTAATGGTTATTTAGAAGATTTATATTTTTAAATAAAGTTTGATATTTTTTTATTCATGTTACTTTTGCTCTGAGTACCTGTCCTGAATCTTTTGGCATTTGGGATTAGATATGACTCAATACATGCATTTTGGCAACATTGGAATATTTTATAATTGCGGGTCCAATCTTTTAAAAAATATATATTCTTCTACTTAATTATGTTTTCTCTCATGGTTCTTGGTAGGTTCGAAAGTTCCCATCACATTAGGAACACTATTCCATTTTCTGTAAAGAATAATCTCAAAATATCTTCACCACAATACTATAAAGTGCTACCAGTATCGCCTTTTAAAGATAATAAAGTTGTGACTCAGTAAATTTGCTCCAAGTCACTAGTCTTGGAAGTGAAATCTGTCTGAATTCATCGTTTGTCCATTTTAGGGTGTGAAAGCGATGCTGATTTAATTTCTGTTTCCTAAAAATTGCAAAACATAGAGACAGAACGGGCAACATTTATATAACAGAAAGCAACAACATTATTTTAGCTTTTTCTTATTTGGTCTCTTTTTGGAGAATTCAAAATATGGCTGCTGGATAAGTTTACAGCATTTGGCAGTTCTCTATCAAGCCTCCTGGGGTTATGCCAAAGAGACAGGCCCCTTGAGAATTTGGTCTGAATTCTTATCCAAATGAACACCTGCTGTCATTGTTCCTTATCAATCCTGTAGTCAGCAAAGCCAATGCTGTTTTTGTGGTGGGACCCATTCATCACACAGAAAAGACATGCCAGTGTTCCTCGGTTGTTTTTCATTTTCCCTCTCTTTACTGCATGATCTATTGCCTAAGTATGTTAGAGGTAGAGCTAACATTAAGTTTATCTTTGGTTACTTGGTAATCTGTTTCTAGGAGTTTGCTCAGTTATAGTTCTGTCTACTTGATTGGTCTTTTGTGATACTCTCCTCGTCTTTTTCATTCTCTCTCTCTCTCTCCCCTGTTTATCTTTTTTTGGAAAGGAAGAGATTTGTTATTGCAAATATATATATTTGCAAAGCAAATTATATTATATAATGTATTTTTAAAAGTCTTAGTTTTCTAAATTTGCAGAAACAAATAATTCAAGCAGAAGTAAATTCAATGATAGTCTCCCTATGGATAACCAATAGTGATCATTCATTCTTAGTACTTGATTCATATTCCTTTGCTTTTGTTTTATTGGTCTGCTGGATGTGTGCTTTTAATTATGAGGTATTCTAAATTGCTTTTGAATCAGATTAGTGTTTAAGTCAAAGTGAATGATTTTTAAAAATTAATTAATGATCATGCTGCATAATATATCATAAATAACCTAGCTAAGACATTTTTCTATGATTTCATATCACAGCAAGACAACTTTACATTCTAAACTAGAATATATATATATGAGTTATTAGTGATATTTAAAAACGAAAAAGAAAAAAACTCTGTGACTGAGTTTTAGGATTATTGGACCATAAAAGTGAACCATCTTGATATTCCTATTTCTTAGCAAACCAGGAAGTTGACCAAGTATATATAACAAAATTATATCTTAGCATATAAAAAATAGAGGGTTTTGGGGGTGACTTTTTAATAAATGTTGTTCTTATACATATCTATACCTTTGTATTCTTTTCACTTGCGCATTAATTCAGTTACTCAACAATTTTTAGAGGATAAAGTGTACAGAAAAGATTACATTTCTATCACAGCTCTGCCTTGTAGGGAAAAGCCACTCCCTGCCATCTGCAGTGGGCATTGGTCCCTCTTGTTTTGCCTCATGCTTTGTTATGCATGAATAACCACATTAGCCTTTTCATTTCATTCATTAGACTTTTAATCCTTGATTAGTGTTTTCAAAATTCTCTCAAATACACAACTTCTTTATTTCCTTTGTGTTTGGTTTTTCTTTTTTCTTTTATCTCCTCTATGAAACAAAATTAACAGTTAATCACAACAATAGCCCGTTTCTATTGAGATGACTGGTAAATATATTAGTTTCTCATTGGAGTGATTAATCATGTGTAGATGAAGAATGGGAAAATATCTCCTTCTTTGGAATAAGAGGGGCTACTGTTTAAAGTCAGTAAGAACAGTTTGTGCTTGAAAAGCTTGAGTCACAATATTCTACCAATCGCCCACATTCAGTGGGATTCTGTCTCATAGAAACTCTGATAAAAAAAAATTAATTAAAACAAAAAGAAAGTCTGAATGAAATTCCTAAAAGCAAGAGACATCCATTAGGGTTCAGAACTCATGCATTTGGGGTCTTAGAGACTAGTTACACTGTCACCAATTCTCCAAATATAAATCTTTCTATTTGTTGTTTTTCATCAGTAAGCAAGATAAGAGACATATGTCAGAAAGTTGCCTGTGTAACAAACAATTAATAATTACACATCCAAAACACTGTTTGCATATTTTGATGTCATGTAGTATATTTACCTTGTGCCATTATTAATTTCAAAGGATTAGGAGCTTTTCTACCTGATCATTTCTCCACTTAGACCATCCTTCCAGCTCAGCTATAACAATATTTTCAACTACTTTTAACATTTATGTTCATATGCTCTATCTTAAACATACTTTGGCCATGATTCAAGAGCCAGTTATTAAATGAGATACATAAACTAGAAATCGTTTCCTAGAAGGGACCAGTGTTGAAATGGTGACATAAATCCTGTTTGCACACAATTTATGTAAATTACACTTTTTTGCCTAATTTCAGAACATCTTCTTGGCAATGATATTGTTAAAAAAAAGTTAATTTTAAAATATTATTCATTAACTTTTTTCTCTCTTAGTCTTTATTTCTACAAGATAGTAGGCTCATGAACTGTCTTGTTTTTCTTCTGTTTCTACCCTTAGGATGCCTCCATTGCACACAGATTCCACATCATGAGAGAAAAACACCCAGAGAAATTCAACAGTAGGTAAGATAGCAAATGATGAAATTATAAGTATGGTTGCTGTTGATAAATCATGTCATAAGAAGGATCACTGTATGGTATAACATATTTCACATATATTAACTGAATAAGGCTTGTGTAAGTATAAAGACAAAAGTGTGAATGAATTCAAACTTTCCTCTTAGGTTTTCGTGCAATTATAGTGGGAAATGCAATATGGTCATTGATGGTTCATTGTCATGTGCTGAAATGAAGGATTTTAAGTATAAGGGAAAATTCTATTTTATTAAGACACACTGAAGTTTTTACATAGCTAAGTGAGAAGATCTGATCATCCCAAATTCCAAAGGAGAAACATGGGTCCCTGGTTTGATAATGCTGACTAACTGCATGTTACATAGATAACATGTAAGGACTCTAATCCTTACATTATCTGTCCAGTATTGGCCTCAACTAAATGAAAAATAAACCAGAGAAATATCATTGCTAATGAAGGACTTTTAAAGTCTTTTCCTTCACAGAGAAAAACCTTGGTGACCAAAATTAGTTTAGCCATTATAGCCATATGTGAACATTTTTCCCTCTCTCGAAGGTAGACATCGACACCTTTTCTGATATTCAAGGAAATAGGGAAGCTTTGGCTTTGCGTCTGCCCCATTTCTAGAAGGAAATGTGGCTCTCTCCACTCTCTTCTCCTGGAAAAGTGGGGCAGAAGAATGAATCATGTTTTGCTTCACTTATCCCCATTTTTACTGATCAGTTCATGAAGTTATAAAATCATAATCAAAATCACATACTTTAATGTTCAGAGCCAAAGACTCTATGGCTTCTGTGTTTGACTGAGACCACTTATTAGTCATCTGCCTCTGAAAATTTTTATATTATTTTAATATTGTCACTCACTAGTATATTGACATAATTTTCTTCCATGTAGGTTCATAAAAAATAATTATTGTTAAAATGTATTTTCAAAGTTATTTTAGATTTTTCTGAACTTTAGACTTTAGAGTACTACTGTATATACAGGAATCATCACAGTAAATAGTTTCGTGATTAGTGAGATCCTATCTGATTTTTTATTAAATTTATCTATTTTTATTTTTTTATTAAACAAATTTTTTTAAATTGATTTTTAGAGAGAGAGGAAGGGAGAAAAAGAGAGATAAAAACATCGATGAGCGAGAACATCGATTGACCGCCTCCTGCATGCCCCCCCACTGGGGATTTGGCCCACAACCTGGGCATGTGCCCTGACCAGGAATTGAACCAGCGACCTCTTGGTGCATGGGTCGATGCTCAACTAGTGAACCATACCAGCCAGGCACATTTACCTATTTAAACGTTTTAGCAAAAACATATGAAAACTTATTTTTGCCCTGGCTGGTGTAGCTCAGTTAGTTGAGCACTGTCATCCATCCATACACAAAAAGGTTGTAGGTTCAATCCCCTGTCAGGGTTAATGTGGAAGGCAACTGATTGGTATTTTTACTCTCACATAGATATTTCTCTCTCTCTCTCTCTCTCTCTCTGCTTTCCTCTATCTCTCAAGTCAATAAGCATATCCTGTGGTGAGTGTTAAAAACAAAAAAAACCTGAAAGAAACTTATTTCTAATAGCTACCTTCTTATGTTTTCCCTTGAGTTCTTTCTTACACTACAAATCATAAATCATAAAGTTATGGTTTGCTTTTTCTCTCATAGCTCAGGTAGGTATAAAGTGTGTCTGTGTATATGTGTACATAATGTCTTTAGAAGGATTAACAGAAATCTGTTAACTGTTTACTTCTGGAGAAAGGAACCAAGTGGTTGGGTGGAGACTGAATCTTTATTCTATATTTTGTGTACTGTTTGAATTTCATGCCAAGCATATGATAAATTTAAGTAGAAAGTAATCTAATTATAGATTTCCACCTGTTTTCTTTATTTCTGGGATAAAGACATTTTATTTTACAAGATTTAATTTTATTTCATGAAATATATTAAAATAAATTGATGTAAATGAAATTATTTTACTTTCCAGTAGATTTCAGCATTTAATAATACACCTTGAATTTCCTGGAAATGAACATACTTATTAATGTACATAAAATCATATTATTGAATAGACTAGCGTATGCTTATCCAGTGCCATTCTTTATAGCATTCATGTGTCAGTATTTATATATTAAAATAGGTTTTAAGCCAAGACAATGCTGTTTGGGAAATTCAGCATGCAGTGTACCCCTTCAGGATTTTCACAATTTAATATCCCATTAACAGCTTTAAAAAATACACAGGGGAATAAAAGTTTAATGATGTTTAAGGCATTTTTGCCCAAAACTTATTCAGCAGAGAGAGACAGAGACTAAACAGAGAGAGATGGAAAAGGGGGGAAGGAGAAAGGAGAATTAAAAGTCTAGAGAGGTGTATCCATATATGTGATGCTCAAAAATTTGACAGCCTACATATAAGAATACCCATATTTATGATCTTCCCTCATGTTAGAGGTTAATGAATTTTGTTCCCTAAACTAATGTTAATTCTTCTTAATAAAAAATACTTATAATCACTTATATCTACTTAATTTTTTATTGTCAATTACAATACTAATTTATATTTCTTACTGCCTAGTATGTGGTTAGATGTCATTTACAATCATGAGTTTGTACACCCTAATGTGTTTATAAAATGTAAAACTACATCTTATTGCAACTTATTTGTAAATTTAAGGCATGAATGTGTCTTGCTTATTCAATTTAAAGGGAATATTTTATTTGGTACAGTAGTAACATACAAAACACCTTCCAGATTGACACTGGTCACATGCTTCTAGTGTGTGTTCAAAGAATGTTAAGTATATAATAGGTGCTCAATGTATTACTGGCCAACAGTATTTTACAATAATGGTCAGCCCTAAAATTACGTACATTACCAAGTTTATTAGGCATACACATTTTGATCTATACTTTTGTAGATTAAGTTTGCACTTAGAATTAGAAGCATTTAGGTAATCCCTAAACTGCAATTCAGCATGTTTAGGATATAAAGGTTTTTCTAAATTTCCATGAGAAAGGCGTGCTGGATAGAAAGCATAGGCAATTTCATACTTAGAAGAGCAGATTTTCAGATTTCAACATTGAGACAGGTTCAGCCGCAGCATTCTTTTATATTTTCAGGAATTTGCAAATGGACTTTTTAAAGTACTCCTAATAATGGGGTTTCAGATCAATCTCTTGTTACAATAAATCATATGCCATTAATATTATCCTCTAGCATGCTCACCTTGAAATTCATTTATATTTCAAAGAACATGATGTTTCTAACATTATCTTAAGGAAATTAATTACCAAAATATATAGTTCTACTCTCTATGCTCCTTACGACAGAAATGGAAAGAACTGGGAAAGGTAATGATTTTTCCGGTGCTTAAAAGAGTGCTGGTTGAGAGGTTTATAGCATATTCTTTCCAAAATTTCTTTGTAATTCTAAGTTAATTGTTAAATGGAAGTATGCTGTTTGGCTTTCTAAACTTTAAGATGTTTTTCATTCTAACTGAATTTAAATATTTCCATTCTTTTAGAGTCAAAACAAAATAAGCATTAAAGTACTTATGCTTCTACTTAAAGCTATTTAGTACATAATATTGTTATTTAAATTATTTATACAATTTGACTATTACTATGTACCACTGTGCTTACGTTCATATAATTCACATATATTACACTTCCCCTGGTTCTATTTAGGTAGAGCAATTTAATTCTTGCTTTAAAAAGAATATTGATATTAATAATTGTATAGCCATTAAAATATATATTCATTAAAATGATACAGTATGAAGGCTTATAATAATTTGGGGGAAATGAAAAATTGTTTTATTCCATGAGCAAAACCATGCCACCTTGATGAAGACTCATAAGTAACACAAAATGGAACTAGCTGTGCAAAGGTATTGATGGTCTTACAAAAATATTTTAATATTGTAGTTATAGTTGGTTTTCAAGGAGCCTGTTCAAATTCTTAATACAAAATTCTTTTTTTTTCTTTTCTTTTTCTTTATTGATTTTAGAGAGAGAGAAAGGGAGAGGGAGAGAGAGAGAGAAACATCAATGAGATAAAACATTAATTAGCTACCTCCTGCATGCCCCCGACTGGGGATCTGGCCCCCAACCTGGACCTCTTGGTGCATGGGTCGATGCTCAACCACTGAGCCACACCAGCCGGGCTTAGTACACAATTCTTAGTACCATTTGCTAGCAATCACTAATAGGCTGCAGTACTCCACGACAACACTATTTCATTAAGTCCACGTTGGTAATTTAATAGTATGGTCTCACTCAGGTGGTTTGGCTCAGTGGTTGAGCGTTGACCCATCTACCAAGCGGTCGCTGGTTTGATTCCTGGTCAGAGCACTTGCCCAGGTTGTGGGCCTGATCCCCAGTTGGGGGGCATACAGGAGGCGGCCAATCAATGTTCTCTGTCATCGATGTTTCTATCTCTCTCTCTCCTTTCTTCTCTCTCTAAAAAAAATCAATAAAGAAAAAAAATGCTTTAAAAGTATCTGGTCTCTAACTTCCTGAATGAGACAAGGAATGTTTTCTTAGCTTCTCTCCCCCACCCTCTTCTCAGAGGTATGTGCTTTACTTCTGTACTAATTCCTGCTGTTTATGAAGGAGCATACAAGAACATAATTAACATACAACAGATAGTTGCTAAATTTATCTCCTAAATTATTTATTATTGAATGGCTTATTTGTCTTCCAATCAATGTCCTGACTTTTGGAAAAAATACTGTTTGTATGCTATTGGTTTGGTTGATTATTTATTCTATAGGTATTTAATACGAAACCCCTTTTATATGATGGGCAACTAGCCAGGAACTGAATCTTTTGAAATGTAAGTGATATGAGGAAAATTAAGTTGGGGTTACATAGAAAACGTAGATAGTGATGGGTTCTGTAGAAAAATGTAAACTAGAAGAAAAGTCTATGTTGCAAAAATATACAGTGAAGGATAGTTTCCGGGGTTCCCAAGTTAAGGTGACCATTG